TATAAACATATTATAAATTTGTATAATTTATTAGAATAGTTTGTACAAGAAATATAATTTCAAATTTATTGAATAAAAGAAGTGTTATATAAGTTTGAATGTGGTGTAATTTCATTGAATAATTCAAAAGTATTTACAGCTAAATTCAATAAGTTTTGTTTTCTTTGGTATTCTCTTAGTATTTCAGATAAATATCATCAAGACAACATTCAACAAAATGATATGTCATTATTAAAAATAATAATGAATCAAATTAATGAAAATAAACAAAAATAACAGAATGAAACAATGAAACTTTGTTGGTGTGTCATTATCTTTGTTATTGTTTTACATTAAAATAATTCATAACACTAATTTGAATGAACTGAATAAATTATATGATTCTTTTGTTCAAAACACTTCATTAATCTTTGTAAAACATCACAAAATCAGCAAATATTCTTCAACTTTTAATAAAAACATAATGAATTAGTATTTACACACTATTACTCAATACTTTCATGACTTTCAAGTAAACAGAAGTTTGTATTACCAAAACAAAAGCTTTTAATTTTTTCATTAACTCTTATTCTATAATTTATTCTCAACAATTCATACAAAACTTTCTACTGTGTTATGCATTTGTCATGAAAATAAAGAATACCATCACAATCTTCACAACTATATTTTGTCACTATCATTACAACCACATACATTACATTATAACACGTTTTCAGAAAATATTTATGTTATAATGATGTTCATCACAACATATCAATATCTATAATTCTTAATGCTTATTTTCATAATAAATGTTGATGCTATGAATAATAAGTGAAAATAGAATATGAAATAAAGTATAAATCAATCAACTACTATTGTGTTGTTTATTCACTTACGATAATTAGTAATATGAATTGATAATGAATAAACAGAAATAAACTCAAAACCATTGAATATTCATTCTAAATGAATATAAACTATAAAACTCATGTAAAAACAAAAAGAGATAACAACTCTAACATATGAGCAAAGAGTTATAGAGAACGACACAACAGAACAAGCATAAGTCAATAACAAAAGATTAAATAGTTGTGTATATATCAACAATGAAATAAGCAAAACACATGAATTGAATTAGATGAAAGAAGAGAAAATGAATTAAAACCAAAGAATAGAATAAATATGAAAGATGTTATTTAAAAAATACATCAACAATTCATGTATTTCATGTAAAAAGTAAGTAGTGTATAACTAAAAACTTGAATAATAATAACAAATATAACTGATATTTGATGAATGAGATGAAAATAAAGATAAATAATACTGAAAATTAAAACAAATCATAATAAAAAGATAGAAGTTAATTAGTTATATAATTTAGCAGAAGAATTTGATGTTTCTTCTCCTAATTGTTCAATTAATCTTTTAATTTCATTTTCATCTTCTGATGTAATAACCTTTTTGGATTGATTAATAACTCTTTCTAATTCACGTGTTTCAATCTTTTTCTTTAATAACTCTTTTTGAATGTCTTCTGCACTCTCTATCATTTCTTTTAATCGTTGTCTGTGAAGAAGTAATTGCTCTTTTCTCTTGTCTTCTGCAGCATGTTCTTCTCCTTCCTTAACTAGTCGATTGATTTCTTCTTCATTCAATCCACCATTACTTTTGACTTGAATCCCTGTTTTCTTTCCTGTTCCTTTGTCAAGTGCAGAGACTTTTACTATTCCATTGACATCAATGTCAAATGTAACTTCAATTTTTGCTACTCCCTTCTTTGCTGG